TGATCGCTGATCCCTCTCAGTGGGACTGAAGTCGCTCTCGGGAGACTCGTTCTAGCTTGACTGAAGCCCCCACCCCACCTTGATTAACTCGCCAAGCGAGCACCCGAACGCGCTCCTTGACAGAGGTTACAAACGGGCAGGAAGATACCCTAGATGGTTAGCAAGATGAGTTTACCTGGCCCAATCTTTGTTAAGTTGTGTACGCGGGGCTCTCATGAGGTCGACCGCCGACCGCACTCCTCTGACGGGTTGACAAGGCGGATGTGAGTCCTCATCATATGCTTTGATATGTAGAGTACATAGAGCAGATGAGTGAAGGACTCTGAGTCCTGACTTGATTGATTCGAGTGTCTACTGCTACAGATTGATATGATGGGACCCACGCAAGCGGTACCTCGGTAAGCGCGTTGAAGTGAAAAAAACACTCTCCTCATCCCCGGGACCGCAACGTCAAGTGGTAGTGTACTGAAAAGGTACATTGTTTCCGCAAATTAAGCAATTCAAGAGTTACGATTGATCAAACGATGAGATCAGTTCATTGAAGAATATATATACAGCCCTCTTTGCTAAAAGAATTTCTCCCATGGCTTTGGTGATTGAAAGCTCCGATCGGCGTAACCGACAGTATGGATCCGTCTTTGGGTCCCAAAGTTGTTAAGAGATCTGATGAGATGCTACGAGACTTTCAATTAAACGGTAAGCGTTACCAGTACAACTTTCATCTCAAACTGCTGCAGCTGGACATCGTCTTGGGGAGCTGCAATATTCTTCCACACCAACCGGAGAGTTGGCACTCTGCCTTGGGCCAGAGTCTGCTTCGGTTTCGCCTATAAATAGACCTCGTCTTTCGAACGAAATTCTCATCCAGCATCAGAACAATCCTCCTATCTACTACAGCAACAGAAGCAATCATCAAAGAAGCCTCTATTCGACTGCTCCTAATCATAATTTATATCAAGCTTTGAGGCGAGGAACTCATTCGATTTATCAGAATGCTTTCATCCAATTTTATAAGGCTTGCATGCCTTCTCTCGATCATTGGAGGCGCAATTTCGCGACCGCAACCTGTACCTCAGCTGGAATCAGAAGAGGTGAATTATATTTTTAAGTTTACTTGAACGAGCTTGTCGGCTAAGCAAATTACTAACTAGAGGTCCTTTGAATGCTGGAGTATGTAGGGCTCCTCCTCTATAAACTCTTTAGCGGCCCACCCACACCCTCCAGCTGACACTGCAGCGCCACCACCACCTCTCGATACCCCAGCTCCTCCCCCAGCCAGCGATGACAAGCCACCGTCCCCCCCAGGTACCGAACCTGGACAACCAGGAGCAAGAAAGAAGCCGGGCAAAGATGCTAAGCCTGTGGGTCCACCGCGTGCGCCAGATGCCAAGCCTGACCGTCCACCGGGCCCACCAGGCGCCAACCCGGACGCTCCGGGGATGGATGCGGGGCCACCCCCTTCTCTGGACCCCCAGGCACCAGCAGAACCAGTGCCGGGCCCTGGGGCTCCTCCCCCACCTGGACCGATGACTCCTGGCAAAAACGCTGGTTTACCGCCTCCTCCGGACGCCCCAGGACCGCCGGGCAAGAACGCCGGCCCACCTGGAAAGAATGCTGGTGGACCCGGAAAGAATGCTGGTCCACCTGGAAAGGAAGCTGGTCCCCCTGGAAAGGAAGCTGGTCCCCCTGGGAAGGAGGCCGGTCAACCCGGGAAGAACGCCGGTCCAGTCGGCCCACCTCCACCGGATGCGGAAAAGAACCCATTAACCCCGACAAAGGGTGAGCCGGCTAACAAAAATCCCGAACCTAAAAAGCCCGACGGATCTCGAGCTCCTCCTGATGGCGGAAAGAAGAAGGGAGATGAGCAGGGCACTGGTGATAAACAGGTATGTTAAACGCGGCCCTCACATTCAACACTACTTGATTCCCGGATATCATGACTTGTAAAAGATACTGATTGTCTGTTTTTTCAAACAAAAAATTGATCAATAACAGTCTTCAGCTTCCGACCTCTCAGGCTCAGTCCTGACCCCTGGATTCTCCCTTCTTTTGGCAGGGATAGTGTCTCTTCTTGCTTAGATTTTTCTTGTTTATCGGAATTGTTAGTATTTGGATTAAAGGATAGCTGTTGGTTGTGGATGAAAAAACTTGTCTCACTTTCAAAAAAAAAATTGTTTTACAAATTAATTTCCATGAAACTCAACATTTGCTATGTGCGATTTGATTGTATCAGAAATGATCAAAAGGTTGTGTTTTTACATTGAAAGTCTTTTGGAGTATGTAACTCATAGAGAAAAAAAAACTTGAGTGATATTATATCATAATATGACATGAATTTAAAACTGTGGAAAGACCGACCCATTGATAAAATTGATGAAAACAATGGAGCTGGAAGTGAAGCATTTGCAAGGATCAAAGAATGCAACTGATGGCCCTGAGTCCCAAATTCCAATCATCTTTCCAGAATGTGATTATTGAATATCAAAACTGGTTTGATTAAAATGTGGACTCTTTGTTGAAATTCTAATTTTCCTCATTCTAGTAGGATTATGGCAATATGTCACAAACCTTATTTTCACTGTTAGGATGCTATTCTTTGAATCTGTTTCTAAATGAATGTCTTTTTTTGAGGTGTAACAATCTTACTGATACATTTTGAAAGAAATAAGTGAGTCCAAAGAGCTCACCTTATATCTGGGGGATATTGACATCTGAGTGGACCATGGACCGCAGACAAGCAGAAAGATACCCGTGCCCAGCTGACTCAAAAGCTCAGGGGGGAAATGACATCTTTTGCCTCTGCGAGTGCCAGTGAGATACCCCAAGTAACTCTTGCATAAACATTCTCAAAAAAATTAGACCCTTCAGGCAGACTATTGTCTTTTCTAATAAGCTTGGACCCATTTGCAAAGAAATTGTTTTGGAAGATCCAGGCACCTCCCATGCTTTTGATATACATACAACTTTGATTTGACAGGTATGCAATCCAACACAAGACCTGACACTTCAATCCGACCACCTGCCCGGCCATCCTTTGCTACATTGGACCAGGCTGGGAGGGGAGTTCATGGCTGGGCATTGGGTATCTGGATAAGGGCCAGGCAGGGAGAAGCAAAAGGTGGGATACCTTATGACAGAATCCTCTGAATAAACAAAATAAAACATGCTTTTCAGTGCATAACAAGACAAAGTCTTTTGGAGAGCTTCCAACATTTTTGGAAAATACAATACATGCAAATAGAATCCCCTCCCGCAGATCCAGAGTGTCTTGCTTTGCATTAAACCCACTCAAAGATTGATTATTGTTGAGTGGTGGTTCAGAGGTAAAATCAGGTTAACAATGCCCATATTGGAGCCTCAGATGCAGAAGTGATAGGACAGAATCCATGGCCAGCTTCTCTGCCCACATCACATGAGACTGAGAGTCACTGGTTATAGTACATATCCACACAGTGCTGATTTTGGTTAAACTTCTGTCTGAAAGAAAAAACCCAATGGGGCACACAACCGTTTGATCTTTTGTTCTCTGCCAGCAGTGGAATATTTGTGGAGACAAAAAGAATTTCAAATCCTGTGTTTTCCCAAGAAATGGCAGGTCAGACTGTGTCTTACAGAGAGCCAATCAAAAAAAAAAATCAATCAATCAGATGTAAATTGATTTTGGGACTGATTTCAATGGCAAGACAAATCCTACTGGTTCTGGCTGAAGAAAGTGATCTCAAATACGGCTGAAGCACACAAGGGTGAAACAAGAGCACAAAAAAAAAAAAAACAGAGGAAGAAGCAAATTCTTATGGGCATAGCTATTAGCATATAATAAGGCCCCTTTTTGGCCGCAAATCATGACTTGTGATTTGGCTAAGGTTTGCTGCAGATTCAGACGGTGCAATAAAAAACGATAAAAAATGTTGTTTGCACAAACTCCCGCCAAATCTTGACGCAAAATTACACATTACAGACCGCCAGAGGGAGCCTAAAAGTACATCCACAATTTGTATGCAATCATGTGCAGGAGCTTCCCCCTATTTTATAGATGTGAAGAGATCCTCGGTTGATCTTACTGTGTCTTTTAATGGACCAATCAGAAGGTTCTCCTACTTAACAAACCC